CAATCTGTGTGGCATTCTCACAAGCCAAGACGCTTTGTTTTGGCTTCCAACTCGCACTGTAAGAAGCAACAGCGAGCACATATAGGGACCCGGCTTTCAGGTTGGTGAAGGGACCTGGGGTCCGACATCCAGAGCTGGAAGAGGCCTCAGAGGCCCAGCCCCCCTCATGTCGCGTACGAGGAAACTTAAGGGCCGGACTCACCACCCCGTGCGCGTCAAAGGGAACACCTGAGCCCCAGGTCCTCAGACTCACCGGGATACAAACCACAGTCTGTCTTATTTTATTTGCTCCTGCCAGCCACCCGCAGATGATGTGGCAGATGTTATTGGCCGTCGTTAGCGACGACCCAATATCGACGCTATCATTCCCCACGAAAAACTTAGCTCTGATCAAGATGAATAGCTGTCGGAGGCAGGAGTCGAACCCACGACTGCCTCTGACTCTCGTCCAGATCTGTCACTCCCAGTGCCGCACGTTTTCGGCTCATCTCAACCCCGCAGTAGGGATATGAGGACACCTCCTACGCGTGAAACCAGGAGACAGGGGCGCAGACAACTGGGCGGTCCAGATTGGTTCCTCCAGGTGGAAGTGGGATGGGGCTGGATCACTATCAGTCACCGTCCTGGGAGTCTGGGCCAGAGAAGCCCCTTGTCTTTATGAAGCCCCTCCCTGCCTGAGAGCTCTAAACACTTGCACAGAGCACCCCCTTCTTTAGGACACCCCCCTTCCCCTTTCTTCTGTGGTCTGAGCTATCTCAGCTGGACTCAGACAAACGCAGTTTCCCAAGGGCGGCCACATCCCAGGACACCCTCCACCGCCCTTGCAGCCTGCCTCGGGGGAGGCATCTGCTTGGGCAGGGGCTCGGGGGTGGGGCTCCAGCCGAACTGCTGCAGACACACAGAGAGAGAGGGCACTTAGCCCCCAGGCCACTGAACCCGAACACCAAACCGCCTGCTCCTTCTTTCTTTTCCATTTTCTTTTTCTTTTTAATTTGAAATTCACAATCACAAACATTCCATATACAAAGAACCAAAAAAGAGGATTGTATTTAAAACAGTGAATTCATATTATTTATCTTTTAGAAGTGATCCTTGGGTGTGTATTTTAGTCCTCGCTATTCTAAGCTAAATACATACTTTTTAAAAAGAAAAATCAGAGAGCAAACTGTGTGGCATTTTATTTAGACACGGTGCCTGGCACAGAGCTTAATAAATGCTCGTTTGCTTCCTTGCACATGAACGACCTCCAGCCAGTTCTATAAACTGATGACCACAGAGCCAAGTTCCCCTCCCTAACCAGTTGCCACATTATGTTCCAAAGACAAATTAAGTTCAGACAGGACGATGTAGTGGAAAAAGAAGCATTTGGATTTCTTCAGACACTTAGTATACTGGTAACTCAACCGGTGACAAGTTCTTTCATCTTCCTCAGCCTCAGTTTCCTCCTCTGTAAAATCAGGATCAGAATGCCTGCAGTCCTCCCCCTGAAAGGTGGTTGTGAAGATTAAATCAAAGAATCTGACCAGGATTTATCTTATTATCAAATGTGATTTGGTTGTGTTACCCTTAGTAAGTGTGTGACCTTGGATAAGTCACTTAAGCTTCTTGGGTTTCAATCCTTTCTTGTCAATAAAATGAGGTTGTCAAAGAATCTACGAACTTGGACAGGAAAAAAAATACATTTTTTTTTTTTACTAACATCTGATTTAGCAAATCCTTCAATTGCAAATCTAAACCCATGTGCGTGCATGCACACACACACGTGCGTGTAAGCACCTGAGAAATGATTCCTGGCATCACTAGACTGCCCAGGAGGTCTGTGAAATAAAAAAAGTTCAGAGCTCCTGGACCGGATGATGCTGTGGCCCCTTCCAGCTCTGAGTATTTGACTCTAGGAATATCTAAAATTCTTTGCACATTTTAAAGTATTGTCATTATTACTAGCAACCCAGTGGTTTAACCAAAAACTTCCAATAGTTTAGATGCTTTTACTGCTAACAGAGAGAAAAATCAAGAGATCTGTGCAGTGAAGAGGGCTGGATTTGGAATCTTGGGGCCTGGGCTGGGAACTGAAGATCTGCCTCCTTGGGCAAGTCACTGGGCTGCCCTGCCTCTCACTTTCTTCATCTGTCCAATGAAAGCTGCTCCAGAGGAACTTTCCTGGCTCTAAGTTTCTGCTCTCCATCCTATGCAGAAAGTAAGAGCTGTTACTTATATAAGAGAAGGAAGGGGAATTGGGCTGGGTCACTTTTCTGTTTTGGGATCTCCAGCATCTCAAACAGTTCATAGTAGATGCCTAAGAAATGCTTCCTACTTTGTAAATGACTAGAAATGTATTTTTGGTAACTGTCTGTGGAGTCTTCCTGACATGACTGCTTGACTCCCTTTGACCTCATCCTTTCCTGTTACTCTAAAAGCTCTCCCAAACACGATTAAGCCACGTAGCTAACAAATGCAGGTGTAACGCAGCCATTTAGATAGCCATATGGGAAGGGAGAAGGAGCACTCACTAGCTTTGGAGTCAGAGGCTGTGCGTCTGAACCGGGCCTCCTACGGTCTTGAGAAACCGACTTCAGCAATTTGGGCCACAGGACAAGGAGCGCACTGGAGGAGATGCTCTCTAAGTCACCACGCACTCAGTCTCTATTTTATATGTTATCACTGACCACACGTGCATGCCTAAGGGTCTTCCCATGTTAGGTCCTCAGTAGACAGAAGACAAGTAACTGGTTGGTTTCATTTGGAACTGCTGTTGTTTTTAAAATCACGAGCCCAGTGGATTCTGGAAGAATTCCGAGTCTGACAGCTGTCATGGGAGATTCAGGATTCAGTCACTGTGGAGTGTCATGACATCATAGGCGTTGAGATCATACTCCCAGCTGCTGAGCTGTGTCCATCAAAGTGAGCACTCAGATCTGTTAAGTGGTTTCTATACACTATTAGCGGTGCAAACTGGGAAAGACTTGAGCCATCATCTTGTCCCATGCCCTCAGAGGATCAATTGGTGATTTGAAACTGGAAGGGACCTTAGCGGTCATGCAGCCAAAGCTAGGTAGTTTACAGATGTGGCCTGGAGCATTTATGTAACCCACTCAAAGTCACACTGGTAGGAGGGAGCAGAAAAATGGGCCTTTGCCTCCAAACCAGTGGTCTTTCCAGTGTCTCAAGCTTTCTCAAGTTCTCCTGGGGACTGCATCTGTACTAATGAGGCCTGGAGGGCAGTGACCGTGGCCCCCATCCAGGAAGGAACAGAGCCAAGACCCAGACTTTGCTCCTTGCCTCCAAGGCCGGAGTTCCTCCCGTTACACTAAGCTGCCTCTCCCTTCTCTGTCCTTGTAACAAACATTAAAATTTAAAATCAGTGAAGTGAGGGCTCAGAGCTTAAGGAAAATCTGTGAACTCTTTTTTAAAATGAGGGAGGAAGAAGGACAGGGAGAGGGAAAGAGAGAAGGGAAAAGGGAGAAGTAGGAGGTGAAGGAGATAGAGACACTCAGAGACAGAGAGAGAGAGAGAGAGAGAGAAAGAGAGAGAATGTTTCTGCTGACCAGCAGACCTCTGCATGCAGTCTCAGCTATCGGGGAGGTTCTGCTCACTGGTTTCATGTACTAGAGCCTGAGAGAGAATCTTCACGTTTGCATAGGAAGGTCTCCTGTGAAGGTGGATGGAGTTTGGACAAAAGGAGTGGAAAAGGCTTCCTTTTAGCAAAGGTTTGCAGAAGGGTGAAAAGTGTCACTGGAACATCCTGAAATGAAATTTTGTGAATTATAACATTCTGATGGGAGGAAGCTCACTTTCACACCAAGCCTTCTCACTCTGGTCAAAGGAAACTTTCTTCAAGTTTTGTTTCTTTTTCTTTTCTTTTCTTCTTTTCCTTCCTTCCTCCCTCCCTTATTTCCTCTTCTCCCTCCCTCCCCTCCTCTTTCCTTCTGTCCTTCCTCCCTCCTTCCTTCTCTTCTCTTCTCTTCTCTTCCTCCCTCTCTCTCTCTCTCTCTCTCTCTCTCTCTCTCTCTCACTCTCTCTCTCTCTCTCTTTCAAAATGCAATGGCCGTTTCCCAATATCTCGGTTATGAACCTTTTCTTGCCTCAAAGACCACTTAGGAGAAGCTGACTGACAGAGTGATCGGGTCTGGTGTTGCCTGCCACCCTCTTAAGCTCCTGACTCTTGCCTGAGAAGAAGTCAAGTGTGTTTGATAGGCTGGGGCCCAGATTGGTTACTGCATCGATCAAAGGTGGGATGGTTTTCAGTGTCACTCTTGTTCACATTCATGTCCCTCAGCATCAATTCAGAGTCATCAAGTCCTCTAGCATCTCTCTGACTCCCTTACTTCATCTCATGGGTACAGTCCTGTCCTACCCATGCACTCCTACTTACTGGCCATTCTCCAGGTGATAGGTAACTACTTCAAGTTTTGTTTGTTTGTTCTGGAAATGGTTAATCCATGGGATCACAGATATAGAGAGGGGAGACCCCAGAGGCCCAAGCCTC